GAGCAACCTGCTCAAGTAGAACAAGACCAGCGTAGGTCAAGTAGGATACGTCAACAACCTGAGAGATATGGATATCTCATAAGTGATTAGGGTGATGTATTACTCATGGATCAAGATGAGCCTGTGACCTACCAAGAGGCCATAACTGGTCCTGAGTCCGAGAAGTGGCTAAAAGCCATGAAATCTGAAATGGATTACATGTACACAAACCAGGTTTGGACCTTGGTAGAGCCTCCTATAGGAGTTAACCCTATAGGATGCAAGTGGGTCTTCAAAAAGAAGACTGACATGGATGGTAAGGTACATACCTATAAGGAATGACTGGTTGCAAAAGGCTATAAACAAATTCATGGGGTTGACTATGATGAAACCTTTTCACCAGTTGCAATGCTTAAATCTGTTCGGATTTTACTTGCTATCGCTGCATATCATGATTATGAAATATGGCAGATGGATGTCAAAACTGCTTTCCTTAATGGGAATCTTCTTGAGGATGTGTACATGACACAACCTGAAGGATTTGACATACCAGAAGAAGCCCAAAAGATATGTAAGTTACAACGATCAATTTATGGATTGAAGCAAGCTTCCAGAAGCTAGAATCTTCGTTTTGATGAAACAGTAAAACAATATGGATTCATCAAGAATGAAGATGAGCCTTGTGTCTACAAGAAGGTTAGTGGGAGCATGATCGTATTCCTGGTATTATATGTAGATGACATATTACTCATTGGAAACGATGTCCCTACCTTGCAACTAGTGAAGACTTGGTTAGGGAAATGCTTTTCAATGAAGGACCTAGGTGAAGCAGCCTATATATTAGGAATCAGGATCTATAGAGACAGGTCACAAAAACTGCTTGGCCTAAGTCAGAGTACATACATAGAAAAAGTGTTGAGACGCTTTAATATGCATGATTCCAAGAAAGGATTCATACCTATGCAACATGGCATGTGTCTGTCAAAAACACAATCCCCTTCAAGTAAGGAAGAAAGGGATCGCATGGATAAGATTCCATATGCATCTGTAATAGGATCTATCATGTATGCCATGCTATGTACTCGACCAGATGTCTCGTATTCTTTAAGTGCAACGAGTAGGTACCCGTCTAATCCCGGTGATGCTCATTGGGTAGCTGTCAAGAATATCCTTAAGTACTTGAGAAGGACTAAGGACTTATTCTTGATATATGGAGGTCAGAAAGAGCTTGCTGTAATTGGATACATCGATGCTAGCTTCCAGATAGATAAGGATGACTTTAGATCGCAATCTGGTTATGTGTTTTGTTTAAATGGTGGCGCTGTGAGCTGGAAAAGTTCAAAGCAAGATACAGTTGCTGATTCTACAACCGATGCTTAGTATATTGCTGCCTCAATTGCAGCAGAGGAAGCTGTTTGGATCAAGAAGTTCATTAGTGAACTTGGCATAGTCCATAGCATTGTGGATCCCATTGATCTCTATTGTGATAACAATGGTGCTATCGCACAAGCTAAGGAGCCTAGATCTCATCAACGATCCAAACACATACTTAGGCGTTATCATCTCATTCGAGAGATAATCGATCGGGGAGATGTGAAAATATGCAGAGTACCTACACTTGACAATGTTGCTGGCCCATTAACAAAGCCTCTTGCGCAGCTGAAGCATGATAGACATACTAGATCTATGAGTATTAGGGGTATGCCTGATTGGCTCTAGTGCTAGTGGGAGATTGTTGGTGTAAGCCCTAGAGGCCAATACTTTTGGTACTTGTATCGAATTATTTATTAATAATAAAAGGCATTTCTTTATTATGTTTGCTTTCCAAAATAATAAAGTCCCTAGAATGGTTTATTTGTTTAATGAAATGTTAAGTGTGACTTAATCATGAGATCCCATTAAACATAAGACACTATTCTTAAAGTATCCGTAGTCAAGCTTTAATGTGAAGTGGGATAATATTAAAGCATTAAGATTATTATGAAGATAGATTGATGATCACATCTCATGGATCATAGATAAGGAGTTATCAAGTCTTGACATAGGTATGAATATTAGGAGTAATATTTATACTGGATTGACCCGCTATGAGAATACTACATAGAATGTTATGCAAAGTGTCATAAGTTATTCTCATGATGATAATGGTGTATACCACCCTTCGACCTGAAACCACTATGGACCCTAGATGTAGAGTCAAGTACTTTATTGCTGATCAAACGTCATCCGTAACTGGATGACTATAAAGACGATTGATGGGTACTTCGCAAAGCATGCTAAGGGACATGAGTGACCTAGATGGAATTTGCTCATCCTGCATAACATGATAAATGTATAAGGGTCCAATATTGAACTGGACAAGGGTGACACAGTGTATGCCTTGTGTTCAATATAGACATGAGGGCAAAAGGGTAATTGTACAACACAAATATTATCACGGAAAAGGTTTGGTCAGATCACATGACATTTTCGTGACTTGGGTAACAGTGATGTGTTGCTAGATACCGCTCACTGTTTATCATATTAAATGTGTGATTTAATATAATTGCCAACGTCGCGAAAACCTACAGGGTCACACGCATAAGGACATGTTGATGAGAGATAGAATAAATAAGGAACACCGTAAGATACGGTGCACTTAAGTGTAATACGGAAAGTGGTAAGGTACCACGTGGATAAGTGATATATGGTACATCATAAGGTATGATGTCCATAAGCTTAATTGGGCTTTTAGCTTATAGCCTTAATTGAGCTTTTAGCTTGAAGCCCACACGAGTGATTCTATAAATAGATCCCTTGTGATGAAGCAATTTCACTTGATGCAATTTCACTTTTGATTCTCTCTCTCACTCAAGGTTTCCGTTCGTGATCAGGTAGCACTGTGACCGGAAGCGATATGTTCGTGTGGACTGAGTAGAGGCGTTGTTCTTCATCAACGCTCGTGATCACAACATCAAAGGTCTGAATCGCCACAAGAGGTAAATATTTCTATCACTGACCATGTTCATTCGTAAGGATCGATAAAGGAAAATTTTAATTTTCGCTGCGCTTTTGATCGTAATTTTCCTTCATAAAGTTGTTAAGTCTAAGCAATAGTTTGGTTCCTATAGATATTTACAAAGCTTTTGATTTAAATAAAACATGTGTTCTTGTAGATAAATTATATGCTACAAATTTTAGTGAGCATAAGAAAATTAGTTTATGATATCAATTTCAATACTTTCATCTTGATGTTGTTAGTCATTCAGACTTAAATAACTTAACAACTATGTCTGAATTGTGTAAAGCTCTAAAAAAAGAACAAAGACAGGGAAGACAAATACATATTATTTGATTGATCGACTTGTTTGTCTTATCTTAACTCTTCTAATTTCTACGGCTACTATAAAAATATCATTCTCATCAATGAAGATAATCAAGACAAGATTGCGCAATAAGATGGAGGATAAATTTTTTGCTGATAATGTGATATTTTACATTAAAAAAGAAATAACTGAACACTTCACCAGTGACTCAATTATTGATGAATTCAAGTTTTTAAAAGAGCGGAAGACAGTATTTTAATTCAAAATTGAATATCTCCTTTTATATATTCTTTTTTATTTTGTTGAAGTTATTTTCCATATTTGAAAAAATTGTATCTAAATTTTAAAACTTTTTTTATCAATTTCAATTATAATATTTTAGTTAATATTTAGCATTCCCCGTAGTACTTTTGTCAAGATCTGCCACCGCTCAATTCTTTTTTCTTTTCAAATATCTTTCCTCCCTTCCCCTCAAATCTTTCAACAAAGATTAAATGTATTACTATTTAATACTGAAAATAATTCAAATACTATTTTATATAAAATAGTATTTGAACTACTTCTAAAACATTCAGAAATCATCTTGAGTGTAACATCTTATTCATGAAAAGAAAATATCATCTCTTTTATCAAATCTCATTAATGTTTTATAACATATTTGAATATTTGACTAAATAAGTAAAATAAATCACTTATTGAAAAACAAGCTTTGTAGAAAAGGCATAGAATTTTGAAATTAGAATATAAAAAAAAAAAAAAATTTAAAAAAAAGAAAAAGATAAACTTCACAAAGTTCATTTTGCCTCTGCATATAAAAATTTGTAATAAAAATATTCAATTTTTAGTAGTTTCCAATATTATTTCATCTAATAACAAATATATAAGTTATTTCCGATTAAATTAATAATTTTGCATGCTAATGTATATTGTGTCCGATTAAAAAGTTCATAATCATATTACTAATTTTTAAAATAATTTTAATTAAACAAATAGTATATTAATTTAAAAAACAGTAAATTTTGAAAAGTTCAGAGTAATTTTGCATGCTAATGTAAATTATTTCCGATTAAAATAATAATTTTGCATGCTAATGTATATTTCCTATTAAAAAGTTCATACTCAAATTACTATTTTAAAATTATTTTAATTTAAAAAAATAGTATATTAATGAAAAAGGCAGTAAACTTTAAATAAAATGAGTTGATGGTAGTATGTTGAGAGATAAAAAGCAATGTGAACATTATAAAATTAGTGTAGAAACTATATAATTATAAAATACTTAATTTTTTCTAAAAAGTTTTAGAGGAAAAAATAAGAGTCGTATATATAATCGTATAGAAAATAAATAGATAGAAGCATAGATAAATATAAATATGGAAAAGAAAGAAATGCCCCCACGAGTACCTCATTTTATTTAAGAAGGCTAGCTCACATAGTTAATAATTTAAAAAGATTACACGTCAATACAAGAATGAAGAAAATAACTACTCGCCCCAAACTCATGAAACAACATATTACTACAGCTGGACCAACCCGTTACTCCTCGACACAATCAGAATGAAGTATCATTATTCCAATGTTTAAACTCCCACCAGTGTATTGTAGCCAAGAGATGACAGCTTTGAGAGCCACTGCCTTCAAAATGAATCAATTGAAATGAAATGGAAACTTTCATTTCATTATAAATAAGCCAATGCATAGTTGAATGCCACTTGCTCAGCCTCTTGTCTGTCGCGTGTTGTAAGACTTGCAGTTGAGGCATTTTTGAGCTACAAAATGGAACTTAACATGAGAAGTTTTTCCGCAGTCATTGCACAGAATCCAAACCTGCATGTTAAGGGTAATGTGATTAGTCCCCGCCAATTAAACAAACCACATAGTATAAATACTACTCAACAGATAGGGAAACAATGAAGACTGACCATTTTATTCTGATATGACTCAGGCATTGGCGTAGCAGCTATCTCCATGTCCAATTTCTCCCAAACCTTCGACATATCACAGACTGACTTTGAACAGAGGGGGCATGCATACCTGATATGATATACAATCAAATACAAGAATAAGGGCGATATTAAAAGAGATATGGTGAAGTAAGGAGACTGCGAGCTCTGTGAGCACTTACTGGAGAACGCGATATTAAAAGAGATATGGTGAAGTAAGGAGACTGTGAGCACTTACTGGTAATGTTCTCTCATTTCATTCAGACAGCTTTTGTGGATTGTATGACCGCACGGCATAACAATGACATCATTTCTTGAATCAAACAAATACTGCAATCATCAATTTCGGCATGCATGAATCAGCCTCCAGCAATATTAAAAGCAGTTATAATGATATTTGAGATACAATTTAAATTTAATTTAATAAAAATGTTTACAATTCTTCACTGATATCCTTACTACAAAAGTTACAAAAATTCATAACTATTACAAGTTTAAACTGGTTCTAAACCATGAAAGTTGTAAAGATTACCTCAAAACAAACGGGGCAATCATGATGCATTGCTCCTTCCACACAGGGGTGACTGTTTTTCAGCAGAGTTGAGTAGCAACAACCTATGCGAACAAATAGTAGTACATTTTATAATTTTGGCACTGTTACTTAATGTATTAAGCAAAAAGCAAAGGGAAAAACGTGATATCACTTACCACACTTATTACAGTGGAAGAAATTCTCATGTCCACCAGTTCTGTGCAACAATATATCAAAATCAATCAGTTTGAGTTTCGACACAAAGCCAAGGCAATAAAAAGGAAAAGTACAGTGCACTAAATCTTCAAGATGGACTATGAAACCAAAATATCAATTCACACCTGCAAATTCCACAGCCATTACAATGGTACTGCTGCTTAGATATCTGCATCATATAAAAATATAATATGTATGATAGTATACTAATTAAAAATTATATTTATGCTTACAAGCAACCATTTAAAGTACAAAATAAAAAAATTTGTACAACATCAATAAAAAAATAACCACACTACTAGGATTAATACTCACATCATCGTCAAAGAGCTTGCATGTCCCACAGAAGTACTTGCCCATACAAACACCACAATTAGTACAGTTTTGCTGAACCTGAAAGTAGTAAAATAAACACAAGAAAATAACTTAGCTTCCGACATTCAAAGCAAATTGTATATGGTAAATTTCAGATATCATGAAATTATTCATTGATTTATTGAACAAATAAATATTGGGGTTGTCAAACAATTTCAAGCAGGATAAAGTCTGGTGCTCTAGTCAATATCTTAGCTGACATTCACAAAACAACTGTTTCCACAAAACATCTGGAAGAATATATGTATTTTATGCATGTGCAGAATACAATGTTTCCACCTTTTAATTTTGATATGCATGTGCAGAGAGATCTTTCTTAATTACAGATAATAAAGATTCAACTTATCTCAAACTAATATTTATATTCTTTATATATTCTATATAACTAATAAAATATTTAAAATATAGAAGAAATTCTAACTCACCTCTTGTTCAGTGCCACAAAGTGAACATATCACCTGAATATGTCAAAATTGTTTGTTAGCATTACAGACCACCTTTGGCCTTGAAATAACATGAAAAGATGTAAAAAGTTGTGGCTATTTTAATTGAGGACGTCTAATAAATAAGAATACCTGTTTGACTTGGTGTCGGGGCATGTCATGTCTATGCTTATAATCTATGTTGATATCATTCTGCAAAAAAACATGATAATAAAAGTAAGTTCCCAAAAAAAATAAAAGAATACTGCAACCCAAGAACTGATCATCATGGTGGATTCTGAAGTCATAAAACATAAGTGATGAAACTAATTTGAATGGACCATTAATGCCCATTTAAAAGTTGAGTCATTAAACAGAAGTAGGCAGAATACATATTTCTTAAGTGAAAACTCAAGTTGAAAGTTACAGATCACGTCAGGATGAAAAACAGAGGACTGCCAAACTGATAAGGCCAAGACAAATAGAAGGCAACTACAATTAAAAGTAGACTGTAACTAATATGGTGGTCAGTGGTCATCAGTGCTGTTGAATAGTGGCGATGTAGCATAGTGGAATTTGTACACATCCTTATTTTTCCGCAATACACTTTTTAGTTCAAAATAGTATGTATCAAATAGTGGCAATATAGCAGGGGTTGTATAGTGAAATTTGAACAAACTGCTATTTTTGCAACCCACAACAACACGGGTGATCAAATCAATACTGTCTATGCCACATAAAACCAAAGAATGCCAATGACATTTAGGAAAGGATTGACTAGAAATATGAAATAAGATGGAAACATATCATTTAAGCAACAACCATACACTAAAGATATGAAAAATATTATTTTAACAAAATACATTAGCATTTACTCACTTTTGCCTCATTGTGACAATGGCGGCAGTCAAAAATCTCATTGCAACAGGGGGCCCTGATTCGACATCTTCTCCGGTAGTGTTGGCATCTGCAAATGAAGCCTAATTTTATTAAAAATAGAGAGCAAAAAATGCAACAATTTGAAAAGTAGAAATGTGCATGTAAACAAGAAATCACCCATGTTCCATATATTCTTTATCTTGCAGATCATTTGTGTTTATAGATTGACTTGATTCTTCTCCGGGCAAGGATTCCGGATTTGAATTTGGAGGATAGACATCTTTTTCTGTCATATGTTTGGTGTCATTGCATTCAAAGTGCAAAGGCTCAGAGTGCAACACTGCCACCTCACCCATGATACAAGCTCTCCTCAAATAAGAGTATCAACTATTTCTAGAAGTAGGCAGTAAGCTTAATGACCTGCATGTAGGAACAGATTTAGAAATAATCCTAAAATTTCTAAAGGCATATTTAGTCACCCCATCAAGCCAGCTAAACACCAAATGCATTGTTGATTTCTTGTATACTTCTGCAGACCAATTGTAATCAGCAACACAAAATCGTATTACGAAGCTCCAATCACCACTACTCCAAGAGATGAACACATCAAAAAAGTGTATACACAAGATTTCCACATAATACGAGGTAGCACTGGGGTTCTTCACAGCTTCTAGCAGTAAATACAATTATAATTGAACGATCACTTGATTCTTTGAAGAACTCACATAACCAAATCCAACTATACTGGAGCCAACCAATAGAAACTTCGACCTATTTTGAAAGCAATAAATCACTCAATCAAATGCATCTAAGATAATAAAATATAGTATGTGTTGATTTCGTTATCTACAAAGGGTGGACCTACCTTAAAATGCAGTTCAACATTGATTCCTCCGAAACCGAAACTTACCAAAACCAAATATATAATTTCCTCCATATCATGTACACCATGATAAATTCCTTGGGACACTTATAACACTTTTCTTATTAATAACTAAGTCATTTGAAAGTGAACTATGTACACTATCAAATTGACAGTCACACTACTTAGGTTAAAATATCCTTATGTCATAGAAGATTTGCAGCAGGGTTGTTTTCCAACGTAGACAAAAAGACGGTTGGAAGCCAAGAGCAAATGCCGGCGCTAATACAAGAGAGTGATTGTATGCAAGCCAAACTAGCATCAAAGCCATTCTTCTTGATGTCCAATGAAGAAACAAAATGGTTACTTTATATGAATTATGCAAAAAGGATATTCCACCCATACAAAGCTCCAATAACATCGAAATTGGCACCAAACTCTCACAGTTCAAACTAGACGAAATAAGAGAGCATAGACAAAAGACATAGATGCCTATGTTGTTGAGATACTGTTTGATGCAACTGCAGAAATACAGAAGGGCAAGGAAAAAAGGTACATTTTGGCTTACTGCGTTTGGACATCGATCAAAATCTGAAACAAAATTGCTGGTACTTGTTTGGTCTTTCTTCTCTCCAAGAGTTACAGACTGGTATTTCTGCTGGGTAACCATTCTATAACTAGATAGTTCCACTTTGAATACCCTGTAAAAGACTTCTCTACCAAATTTTTTTTAAATGCCAATTTATTAAAGGTTAATTGTTAGTATATATTTACACTCTTGCCAGGACTTGAACCTGGACCTCCAACTCAGTTGAAGTTGAACTACCCCTCCCACCCTACCTAAACTGATATAATCATTCATCTCCCTCGAGTCTCCAAAAGTTTCACTCTCACATATCAACCAAGATTATTTTCCGAAGGTAATTTATCTTTGTAACCAGAACAATTGCGTCAAATATATAATTACTTCAAAACACAAACCATTTCGGTGATAGAAACTGAACAAGGTACTAATTTAGAGTCATAGATCAACAAAAATTTTGCAAAAACCATCTGCTACTGCAATACATCAAGATTTTATTTGTCTCTTTATCCCAATTAACTCCAACACAGGAAACCACATCCGGACCGCAATTTAAAACCTAGAAGTCTATATGATTCAACTCGGGACCAGTTGAACCAGAAGTCCTACATTTTTCAAATATTACATAAAGCTCCCAATTACCATGGATCACTAGTAAACACACAAATTGATTGCCTCTAAACCAAGTTCTCGGTACACTCATATCATACCAATGAATAGCGTTATTCACCTCCGAACCATTAGATACAAAGCAAACACAAGAATCAAACAAACAAAAACCAGAACAAATCAGAATATGCAAATTTCAATCAATAAAAAAGAAAACCACAGCTATAAGTTACCTAACAAGAGAACCGAATCGAAAGAAGCTGAGAGAATCACATAAAACAGAGTTATTACAATAATAATCGCAATTCGCAGATAACGAATATCACAAGGCAAATCGAGAGAGATAAACGAGAAAGAGTATAAAAAAAAAAGAATAAACGGCAATTGAATTACGACAGAACAACAACGAACTTTCGACTCTGACGAAACGGAATCGGCGATTGATTGATGCTCGAATTTTGGAGCTCCGATCTTCGGTGAATTGTTGAAGTGAAAGGGAAATGGAGAGGAGTTTATATGAATAGTTGAGATTCGAGAGGGTTCGAAAATGGAGAAGTGTCTTGTTTATACGGAAATGAAAATGTGAAGTGAAAGCAACCGCGTGATAATCATTGACAGCTAGTACTGAAAATATCTGGACGGATGACGTGGCGTCATCTGTGATCTTGATTTATGTGCAAATGTATTGGATAATTGGATCAGATTAAACAATAAGATTTTTTGTTGGCTAGTGGCTGTCTTAGATTACAGCTTATTTAAAGAAATTTTAACGTGTCGTCTAGGATAACATAAGAGCTTATTTAAATTTTTTAACGTCAAATTTTTTGGAAATATTATTAAATTATAATTATTGGAAGAAATTAATTAAAAATTAAAAAGAAAATATATTGATATTTTCACACATTTTCTCTATTTTTTTTCAATTAATGAATTTGTCAATCGATTATCATAATAGTAGGATTATGTTTTTTTTACAAAAATATTTCTTTTTCAATTTAATTTTACGAAGAATTTTAAAAATATTTTTAATAAAGTCCAAACTCAAATCGAAAAAATATGGACATATGAGTGATAGCATATTGATGCTAGTGGATGAAGATCAGAAAAATCAAAGCATAAAAACGAATAAAAGGTGGAGAAAAAGTTAATGAGCATGTGAGGCTTTGCAAGGCAATCAAGGAGAAAGAAGCAACATTATGACGAATATTTCTTACAAAGCAATGGTTACAAGAAAGAAAGAAGCCCGTGGAGAGCAGAAGAAGTGCACAAGCATTTGACAGAGAAGATAGAAACACATATGTGTTTGGAGAAATGAAAATCGAGAAACACAAAATTGTTGAGTATGAATGCCTTGAATTCATATTTTTCGAAAAAGAAGAGCAACGCATGATTGTTCCTTGAAAGATAAGAGTCATTGTGAAAATATTAGAGAAACGAATATGATACAAAACGTTAGAGAATCGATTGAACCATATGTGGACAAGGAGTGAATTCTTAAATATTGTTGACTTAGAGCAAGAATATTTCTTTCACCAATGATGAGGATCAATATGCGGAATTGATGGATGGGCCCTGATTAATATATGATCATTACTTATCATTAAGGGAATGGAGCTCCCAATTTCTGCCTAGCAAGTGATGTCATTGAACAAATTGTTGTTTAGATTCGAATCTCAGGGTTACCCATTATTAAGTACAAAGATGCTAAAGTCCCAACTTTAATTGGAAATAGAATAGGGTCAACTGCCAAAGTGGATAGGAATACTTTAAGCATAGAGAGTGGAAAATATGATGGGTTTTGTGTCCAACTGGATCTGACAAAGTCGTTGTTGGCTATGTTTGCAATCAAGGGAAGACATTACAAAATGTAATACGAAGGACTTCACTTGCTATGCTTGAATTATGGTCGTTTTGGTTACTACAAAAAAAGGGTGTGTGGAATAAGAGGAATGAAGGAGTCAGGAACACAAGGTGAAAAACTAAGGACTATTAACAATGGAGAGGTCGATAAGGGAAATGTTGTTAGGGAGGATGTACTGTAACACTCCATTTCTACCCAACGAATTATATAAAATCAGACTTTCAAAATTTCCAACAACATATGGAATGTTACACTTTCAACTTAAAACAACGACAATCAATCACCTATAAATCGGATACATAACACAATATTTCAGGTGGAGCGATAACAACCTGGTGAGTCTTTAAAAATAAAATAACTTTTATTACTACGCAACAGATTTATAAAATTCAACTGAAAACACCATAACATCTTGTCCAACTCAAAACAACTTTAAGATAACAAGTCTTTAATGAAAACAACTTAAAAATTCAGCAACATAATGAAAATCAACAATAAAGAAAATATGCGTTCATCCCCCGAGTGCTACGTATCAGAGCGACAACACCGACTCGAACTAACGAAGGTAACAACTATCCTTCTTGATTACATGCACGTTACCAACAGAGGGAAACATTCAAACAGAATGAGTGAGATATCGAACCATATAATTGAGTGTATGATAAACAATATATTAGATCGGATTATATAAGATCACCATTCACAGCTTTCAACCAACATTGATCATCATAAGTTAATAACACAATAACTTAAATATGCAACACGGAATACGACTCATTACAATGCACATGCATGTGGTACCATTGGAGCAGAACTTCCAACTTAAAAATATGTCAATTAATAGAGGCGTCAACAAGGCATAAGCTTTTAATTTAATTTGTCAATCCATGCCAACTTACCGAGCATCAGCTCCAACTTGATATGCTATGTATGTGACACAATATGAATGTCAGAATAACGAGAATAATAGTTACATAGCAACACAACAACAAATCACCATTGGCCATATGCCTACAACTTATATTTTACCCATAAATAGAGGCAATGCAACAAGATACAACATCACCTATAATTTCACATTTTTCAACAAAAACACCACCCAACGAATCAACCAAAAATTACTACAAATAAATCGCGTAATTATTCAGACTATTTTGACTAAAATAGATTACTTAATTGTCGGCTAAAAAGTTCTATTATTTCTACTTTGTTCTAAAGTTCTCATTATGTCTCTCTTAAATTAATACTACACTATTGACAACTCTAACAATCATATTGACAAATCTATTAATAGTTCTAACAAATCTATTAGAATAGAAATTAAGCCAAGTTAACTATTTATCCAAATACTTATCTCTAATTCATAACTTCTATAAAATTGATTTACTAATAATACTAACTTATTATTATTATTACTATTATATATATATATATATATATATATATATATATATATATATATATATATATATATATATATATATATATATATATATATATATATATATATATATATATATATATATATATATATATATATATATATATATATATATATATATATATATATATATATATATATATATATATATATATATATATATATATATATATATATATATATATATATATATATATATATATATATATATATATATATATATATATATATATATATATATATATATATATATATATATATATATATATATATATATATATATATATATATATATATATAAGAAAACTTAGAAACATGATTCTTCATGGTTATATAGTGATAATGAAATAATCTATATGTATCCTGCTATAATATATGCATTACTAGAGGGTCGCAACACGGCTATAGTATCGTTATACACTAATTGATCATATTCTATCAATTTGTTACAGTATATACTAAATTGATATAACAGGATCGCTATAGTATGACATATATATATATATATATATATATATATATATATATATATATATATATATATATATATATATATATATATATATATATATATATATATATATATATATATATATATATATATATATATATATATATATATATATATATATATATATATATATATATTAACGAGACAATTATACATTGACGGAGAATAGTCTACAATATGTATATATCAATTGGATTTTCACTCATCTATTAATTTCACCAATGTATTAATTTCAATCACAATTAATCATCACAAATTAAAGATTACTCATCAAAACCTAACAATGTCAAAATCATAAAAATTGAGGATTTTAAGCTAAACACATTTCTACCCATTAATATATTATCATACAAACTCAATAACCATGTGAGAACCCACCCTTAACTTGGATTGAAGGTTTCTCTAACTCTCTGATTGCACATAGATTTGCCTCCTCTTTGCACTTCTACATATCTCTTCCAAAACCCTTATTTTCCTCTTCTGCCAGAACCTATTTTTCTTTCTTTCTACTGATACTTCTATTATTTCTAAACATCTATTATAATATAACTACTATACTATTATTCTTATTTTGCTTTGTTGGACTTAAATCTCTACACCTCCTTTTCTACTACTTTTAACATTAAAATAGACCCACATAAATAATAATAGTATTATTCAATATT